CCAAGGCGACTTTGCGCGAGTCTTGGCTAGATGACATGATGCATGTTTTAGAAGAAGAACAACTAACACAAGATGCTGCTACTGTTGAAGCCGCTTTAAAGAGACACGAAGCCATCAGCACCGACGTAAAGGCAAGGGTGAGTAAAAAACACTCACTAGTCCTCAAAAATACCTCTCTCATCATAATCATTAATAATTACTCATGATCATTAGTGATTAATTAATATTAGAATGACTGTTTTTTTTTCTAGGAAGAACGATTCCAAATGGTTTTCAATCTCGCACAAGAATTGATTGACGAAGATTACCATAGATGTGAYGTAGTGAGAGCAAGGTTAGTTCTCAAAGGCAAATCGTCATTGGTCAAATAAGCCTTTTTTTACAGTTCAATGTTAGTGACCGCTGTTTTAGTAAACAACAGACTCACAGAGAACAAAAGAAAGCACGAAATTAAAATGTTGACATTACAATAGCTCTAGAAATTTGAATCTTCTCCGATTTGAGGCTAAGCCTGTATTCCCAGAAGGCTTAAATTCTCGGTCTTTGTGGAAACACAGGATTAGCCTCAAATCGGAGAAAATGCAAATTTGTAGAACTATTGTAATGAAGACTTTTTTTCGTGCTCTTTTTTTTTGTTTTCGGAGAGGTCATCGCATGAGAGACTGCTGTCAACTAAAACAGCGGCTACTCCCTTTAAACGCGAAAAAGGCGTATTAGGGATGATGAATGTAATAATTGGAAATAGCAGTAATGATTGAGATGATAGCTGATGCTGTTAATAATGACTGACATTATCAATTGTAATGTTTTTCTGTGGGATATATTAATTATTTTGACAATGAAGGAAGTTTAGGTGCAATATCGTAATTATCGGTGATAATTATATCTGGGAACGAGACTAACAAAGGATAATTATGGATAAYGATTAACGTGATATCCTTAAGTTACCGCGTCTCTCGAAGGTCTTAACTGTCGGAACCTTTTCCCACGAATATCTTGTATATYACATTTTGAATGATGTTCGTGTCTCTCTTTCCACTTTRAATATTTCCTAAGTAAACTCATTTTAAGAGCTGACATCTAGTTGTTACGTTCATAGAGAAGAAGTGATAATGACMAAGTGGGACAAACTGGTCGGGAAGTTAGAAGGACGGCGCTCGACTTTGATGGGATTTAAAAACCTTGTCGGTGTTCTCAGAGACATGGAGAGCGCACAATCAGATCTTGCAGATATCGAGGTTTGTGGAAATTGATTATCATCAYAGTAATCATCATCATCATTGTCGTTGTTATCATTTTCATCATTATCGTTGAAAAAACCTGTGACAGCTGGACCGTTTTGGGACAGTTATGATAATTTAATATGCTAATGTGTCTAATTGCTAATGTGTCGTTCGAATGCGGGGAGTATAATACGATAAATTATTGTAAAGAGCATCTTTATGATAAAAAACTTTAAACCACAATTTATATTTTATCACAAACTCATMCGCAAAATAATTTGATTAAGCTAATTTTTGAACTGATTTATAAAAAAACATTTTGAAAGCTCAAACTGATTGACCCCTCGAAGAAAGCGTTTCCACGGAAATTAACAAATATTTGACCAAATGGCAAATCCATGTGAACGCTATGTTTGAACATACAGCTGTCCGTTATCGAAATGAAAATCACACATAGCAATTTACCAGCTGGGTAGTGCTGGTTTACTTGCTTTTTTTTTTGAGTTTYGAAACAGTGTTTTATTCGTGCTGACGTTTTGTTAGATGAAAGTCGATTTTTTGGGGTTAATATTTTAAAGTTATCTTTTTGATTCCAWTTATCTTATCTTTTATTATTTATCTATTTGGTTTTCGAATTTACGATATTTTGTCTTGGGTACAAAGCAGGGGAGGATCCGGAACTTTTTTTAGRGGGTAAGAGCACTAAAATGGCGCACTAAAACTTTTGGCGGGAAATTTGCATGACGGATAAGTTTGGAGAACGTATCAAATAGAAATTTCCACTAAAATTAGTGAATTAATTAGGAAA